TTAGTAAATTTTTCCCTTAATTAAGGATTGACTCAATTACTCTTAACTATCTTGAATGTTCAATATATCTAATCAAAATCTTGAATCTAAGTTTTTTTATTAATATCTTTTTATGGTTTTCCATGCAGTGATACAAGTCAATCATGCATTGAAATTAGCTGAAGAAGGTGATACTATTCAAGAAAATCACAGTAATAACACACAGTACGAAGTAGGGTTAACTGAAGTATGTCGAAAAGACAGCTTACAAGTAACTCAAGGACCGTCAGGAACACTGAACGGTATTCCAGTGTACTCAGTCACAATCATAAATACATGCACCACTGGAAGTTGTTTTAACATTCACTTGAGCTGTGGTTGGTTCAGTTCAACAAGACTCATAAATCCTGCAATTTTTAGAAGAATTGGTTATAATAATTGCCTTGTTAATAATGGAAAGCCTTTAAAACCTGGACAATTAATTAATTTTAAATATTCTAATACTTTTAGTTATCCTCTTGCTGTTTCTACCATTATCTGTAACTAGCTAGGGTTTTAGTGATAGTATTAGTATGAGTATATATATATATATGCTCGAATAGGGTTAGTTATATATAGAAGTTTTATACTATAGTTGATTTTAATTTGTTCGAATATTTGAAGTGTAATTTGTTAGTTGATTGATTAATTGATTACACTGCTATTCGCTCCAGTTCACAATAAGTAATTTTTTGGCTTTTTTTGGTGATCCAAAATAAATGATTTTTTCAGATTTCAAGAATATTTTTTTCCTACATTGCCCTTGGAGTAAATAATGTTGTAGTATGTGTTAGGAGTGTTTATGTGAAGAGATATTAAAGGTTAATATGGTCAATTTCATGACTATTTAATGATAAAAATGACCTTTTTAATATACGTGAAGTAATAAAAAAATCACTTATTTTGGACCAGAGGGAGTATATATGGGTTGCTTAACTATTCTTGTGCCTAAACTGTTAAATATTGCGCCGCTCAATTCTCATTAGAATTGTACTAACAATTTAATAGATGTGAAACCATAATTTTAAAAGTAAACCAAATTCGATGCTAAAACTTGGCCCTGGAGCCCGAATAGATCTTTCGATGAGGAATTTGAAGGGCTCGAAAGAGGAAGACCTTACCTTTCCCCACACTCAAAACCAAAACAAAAGAAAAAAGATCAGCCAAAAGAACATCTAAGCTAGCAAGTAAGTAGATTCGGGGAAAATAGAAAAAGAAAGAGATGAAAAATATTAGGAATAAAAGAATCACACTCCTTTTTCTTTTTATTGAACGAGAAACTAGAATAAGACTTAGTAAAAGTAAGAAGAAAAGACGGATCAATTCTGGGGTGGTGCTTCTATCTGATCCTAGAAAACATACGAAACAACTTGCTATGAAACTACCGATAGGAGCAAAAACACTCATGGAGCTTGAATCCTTAATATGTCTCTTGTTTTACCTAAATCTAACCCCAACTATGATAACAACAATAATAATATCAAAATTACTCTTGAACCTTGTGATTTTAAATATGCTATGTGCTTTTTGTAAGAGAATATTATAAAAGATAAAATAAGAATACTGAAATTAAAAAGTAACTAGTGCAGAAAGTAGGAGTAGCATTTTATTTACAACTCGTTTGGATGGTTGTTACATATCGTTTCATAATGTATCAAATCGTATTGTATTGTACTGTATCGTTTGATCAATATAATGCTTGGATAGATTGTGTCGTTTGCCGTCATTTCATGATATCACGCACCAGTAAACTTGCAATATTATAAAAAAATTATGACACAAGGTAAAATTACTATATAAAAAGGTAAGTTAAATGATAAAATAAAATGATTTAACAATAATTAAGGGTGAGATTAAGAGAAAACGACAAGGTAACGTCCCGACCATACCAAATCGGTCGTTACATAAAGTGATACATTTCATCGTTACGTAACGATAGATTTAACGATACGATACCAATCAAAAAAAATATCGTATTTAAAGTAACAGTACGACAACCATCCAAACAAAAAGTTAAACAAATAAACCCTATAATTTCAAGCCCTTTTTCAAATTTCTTTAACTGCAATACAGCTAAGAACTAATACTAATAAGGAACTGATCCACCTTATAACAGAACATAGAATCCTAGCCGTCAAATTCTTTAATCAAAATCAAAATCAATCTCAACCGTTAATCAACCAACCGCCTTAAATTTACAACAAATTCCGTCTATTCAAAGTTCAAACCCCGCCAAAAACCCCATTTGACCAAAAACGAACTTCACTTCATTTCATTACACACAGTTCCTTTCCAAAGCTCTCTTCAATGGCGTCGCCCAAATCCGCAAAAAAACTATTCGGGCCCGACCCGTACCCGATGATCAACCTTCTATTACATCTCCATTGTGACGACGATCGTCTTTATCAACCAGCAAAAACTCTGTTCAATTACACCAAGAATCATTACCCAAATACTCTAATTCTCAAACTCATCGACATGATAAATCGTAACCCTTTTTCGATCACAGGTATTCGCTGTTATAATCTTCTTGGCGATCTTCTGCCTTCTCTTTGGCTCCGTCTTCCTCCATTTACGCGTAAAGACTTAAAGACTCTGTTAAACTATCATTTATGGCGTGAAACGGATTATGAAACGTTAAAAGCTTGTGTTTCTTGCGTATCAAGTTTAGCCGGTTTGTTATTTCCTAAAAATGAATGGGATAATCTGTTTTACTTCATGTTTCTATTTTTGGGTTCGAGTTCTTCGTATAGAAATTTGGCTTCTTTGTTAGTATGGAATGATTTGATTCCTATTTGTCCTGAGGTTTTTATGCCTTATATTGATTTCTTGATTGAGGGTTTTAAGGATCTTATGCCTACTGTATCCGAAGATCATAGGTGTGGTGTTGCTGCTGCTAAGGCATCTGTAAAATTGGTTTTGTATTTGGGAAATACCGCGAATTATAGCAAGTTTTATCATCTTATGGCGTATGTAGTGATGACTTTGTTTAGGGCATTAGGTGAGGAAGTTCTTGTGTGTAGTCTTCTTGAAGATTTGATAATTTTGGCCGGGGCGGAAACTGAGTTTTTTAAGGTTCAGATTGATGCTGTAATAGATTCAATGGTGAAAATAATTGAGAATTTGGAGGTAGAAGAGGAGACAAGACAACTAGCTATAGAGTTTGTTTTAACAGTTGCTGAGGATAAGGAAAATGGTTGTGGTATGATGCAGAAGATTAATAAGGATGTTGTTTCTAAGTTGCTTAGTCAGTTAATTATGATGTTAGTACATATTGAAGATGATCCTAATTGGGGAAATGCAATTAGTGATGATGAAAATGAAGGGGAGTTGAGTATGTGTAGTTATGCTATGGAAAGTTTGGATAGGTTAGCAATTGCATTGGGAGGAAATGTGATTTTGTCCAGTTGTCCTGAGTGTTTGTTCAACTTCTTGTATGATGAAAACTGGAGAATTCGTCATGCTGCTGTTACTGCAATCGGTCTGATTTCCGAGGGTTGCTCAAAGGTATTACTCTCTTCGTTCCATTTTATGTAGCGCTCTTTCCTTTTTAGCGAGTATGTTCTGAAAAGAATGTTACAATCAACTTTCCGTCTTACCCTTAGTAGCATGTTCTTATTGCCGTTGAAATGTTATACTAGCATGTTTAGACTACACGTTCTTAGGGTACCTTTGGTATGTGTCAGAAGTAAAACACCGTCAAATAAGATCTCCTTAACTTTGTTTTCATTTTACCCTTAAATTGTTCATATAGCTATAGAAATGTTGTAGCATGTTTAGACTACAAGGTCGAAGGGTACTCAGCTAGCAAATACATAAACAAGCCCTTAAACTTGGCCTCAACTGGCAAGTATGCTCTCTAATTTTAGGTGTGCATAAGTAGGTACCTCAACTTGTCTTCACTTTGTCAATTGGACACTCCAACATTCAAAAAGATCATCTAGACACCTCCATAACTTATGTGTCACATCGGCATTTGTGTTAATGTGTTCAACTTTATACAAGTTGAGGTGCCTACTTATCCACATTCAAAGTTGGAGGGCATATTTGCCATCTAAGGCCAAGTTTGAGGGCCCGTTTATGTGTTATGCCTTTTGGTATGTGTCAAAAGTAAAACACCGTTTATGATAAGACAGAGGGAGTAGTTCAACTTTATTGTTTAGAAGGCTATTGAGAAGTGAAAGATGGGCTTAATATAGTATTTGCATGTGATTTATGGTGTGGAAATACCAGGCATTGTTGCAGGAGATGGGGCAGCTTGTAGAGACTCTTGTGATGCTAATCCATGACACCCATCCCCGAGTGCGCTGGGCAACAATTCATGCAATTGGTCAGCTTTCAAAGTATCTGAGCCCGCATTTTCAAGAGCAATATCATCAACAGATCCTCCCTGCTTTGCTAGAAGTTTTAGATGATTTTGACAATCCGAGGTTGCAGGTACTTCACATCTTCTTCTCTGTATCCTTTTTCACACTTGTCCATTGCAAATACATATCATTGCATACTAATACTATCTCATTTATATATAGACACGTGCGACTTCAGGAATACTGTTGTTCACTCGCAACTGCAGTTCAGATGTCTTGAAACCTTACCTGCAGAGAATAGTGAGTAAATTAGTTGTGTTTCTACAGGTATGTCATTTATTCCAAATCTATGAGATATATAGAGTTTACGTCTGTAAGAGTAATGACATAAGTTTTTAACAGTCGTATCTCTGATATGATTTGGACTAACAAGTGGCTTGCTGAATTCCAGAGAGAAACGACGATGATGAAGGATGCGGCTCTGGCAACTTTAGCTTCTTTAGCTAATTCATCACAGGTACTTTAGGGTCCAACTGTTGTTTTCTTTCAATGCTCCGGTTTTCTAAACCTCGTTTGCCTCGGATATTGTAGGAGGACTCTGCATACATATATGCTTCAACTATGCCATATCTGAAAGTTATCTTGGTAACTACTAGTAAAGATACAACTCGCATGCTCCTTACCAAATCATTGGAATGTATTACCATGATGGCAATGGCTGTCGGGAATCTAGCAATCCTTGATTATGTTGAGAAGGTGAATACAGTTTATATCTTTCTATTCCCTTGTTGCAGGCATTGTATAAATGTTGACTGTGTTTCCTGGAACTAACAAATAAACCAATGCAGTGAAAATTTAAGATTTAAAGTTAGAACCACATAGCGGTAAAACAACATTTAAACCATTAAAATCAGGGCAAATGAAGTCATATTTGACTAGAAAATGCGGGAAGTACTGATAAGAATTTGAATTTACAAACGGAATAGGTGTACGCTGTTGTAAACTCGAGCATGGACCAACTTCATTTCTCAGCAAATCTTGTAGATACAGTTTATAGAGAAACCTGAAAAAAAAAATACATTTATACAGATTGAAACTATCAACATCAGTTAACTTCGGAAATTACATTTACCAACAATGTGTCATTTAGGTCACTTCTGCGCTCACTTCACTGCAAGAAACTCACATGGAGGTAGAAGATCCAATGAAGAGCCTTTTGTTACAAGTATGTTGAAACACTTAGAATTTTGAGACTTTTCTTTTCTGTTTTTGGCTAATTTATACCAGAGAAAATTATTGTTTTTCTTCCACTTGATTATGTTGCAGGCATGGGGTAGACTATGCAAATGCTTGGGGGCAGATTTCCTTCCTTATCTGAGTGTTTCCATGCCCGTTGTACTAAAATCTTCTCAGTTAAAGAATTATTTGAGTGTTTCCAACGATTCAGATACAGAGGATTCTGATTCTGATGATGAAAGGTTGAATCTTCCTAAAACACTCGGGCGAAATTTCACTTATAATGCATGTCATATGTGTTAGTACTAGGTGTGCATGTAGATGGTTGTGAATTTCACTTAAGTTGCTTATTTTAGTGACTGAGACAATGGTCCCAACATTGTGTCACAAAGATAGTTTGAGAAATGTCGATTTCAGCAAGTAATAAAGAGAAACAAAGTCACTAAAATAAGCAACTTATTTGGCATAAATTTATTGAGGATGTCTTCATCTGAAATATAAATATGTTCTGTAGCATGATTAAAGTCACTTCGGGGAATAAAAAGATCGGTATAAGAAGCACACTTCTGGAAGAAAAAGCCTTGGCCTGTCATATACTATGCTGCTTTGCAGCTGAGTTAAAGGAAGGGCTGCATTTATGGGTTAATGAGGTATGTCTTGAATAATTACAATTTACAAGGATAAAACTTGTGGTTTCTATCACATGAAGATGAAAATTTCTATCTAACTTGTGGTTTATACAGGTTGTAAGTGCTTTAGTTCCAAATCTTACCTTTAAATTCAGCGAAGAAGTAAGAATGGCTGCCATTTCTGGTAAATTTCTACATGTCTTTCTAATCATTCCTTTCAGGCGTTCTGAACTTTATCTGATGTTTTGCTAAATTGCATTTACACCTTTTGTAGCAATGCCATTACTGTTGCATTCAGCTGCTTTTGCTGTGAGGAAAGGGCTTCTTGTAACAGGTTGCGGCAAGCCCCCAGTTCAAAAGCTATTTGACACCATAATCCCGGCTTTGCTTGCTGCATTACAGAAGGTAATTAACCTAGAGTTGCAGCAAAAGTTTAATCAAATATCATATTGATACGATCTTTTAACGCTACTTTCCCTTTAGGAGTCAAAGGTACAAATTCAAGCAAGACTATTGGACGCATTCAACGAAAGCATTCAGGTCAGCATACTATTTTCTCTTCTGTATACTATTCTTCGTATGTTTTTCCCTTGAGCTTCATTTGACCGTGCACTAAAAAGTACTTACTCAACAGATTCCGGGCTCGCATTTAAGTAAACACCAAGCTGCAAAATTCATTGATCGCATATCAGAGGTTCTCTCAACTTGCTCATACCGCAAAACAGAAAGAGAGAAAAGGGTAAGAGAGCGCAACGATTCAAGGGAGCAGGAACTGCTTAAGGAGGAAACTGAGCAACACTTAACTATATGTAGAAATGTTAGTGTTTTATCTCAACACAGCCCCTATTTCTCTCTCTCTCTCTCTCTCTCTATATATATATATATATATAACAGGATCTTAGACTCACCTTCGTTAGTTTCTCTGTTTCATGAACTCAGATCAGCACTTGCCTGGGAACTATGGTGAAAAACCTCAAGGCATCATTCTTGCCCCTTTTTGACAAATTTTTGCCTCATGTATCACTTATGTGGGTAAGTTACTCTCTCTATCATGTACTATATATGTAATTCAATTCGTGACACGTCCTATTGAAGCATCAAAAGTGACTAAATTGATAATAAACTGTCATTTAAACCAGTCTACTGAGCAATTGTATGGTGACACTTTTATGGTTTCCTTGACATTACACTTTTCCTATTCACTATACTCCTCTGTGGAAGGAGAGCCTTGGAGCAACGATAAAGTTGTCTCCGTGTGACTTATAGGTCACGGGTTCGAGCCGTGAAAGCAGCTTTTAATGCTTGCATTAGGGTTGGCTGTCTACATCACAACCCTTGAGGTGCAGCCCTTCCCTAGACCCTGCGTGAACGTGGATGCCTTGTGCATCGGGCTGCCCTTTTTATACGCAAACGTGAGTTTCCCTTTACTTTTCTACATACTTCTGTACAGAGTAATGATAGAACAGCAGAAGAAAGAAGAATAGTAGTGCACCTTTTCCGTGATGTCGCTGAGCAGTGCCGAGAAGATGCATTCAGGCAAGTCTTGTCTTTTGTGCTTTCAGTCTCTTATTAGTCAAGGATAAGCACAATTGGCTTTACCTGAACTTCATTTTTGATTATCTAAAAGCAGGTACTATGAGGATTGGATACCTCTCCTGCTTAGAGTTTACGATCATAACAATCCAGATGTTCAGCAGGTTTTATTCCCCTACTTTTACAGTTGTTTCCCTAGAAATCAGCCTTATATATTTCAAATCTGACATTCTATATTTTTCAGTTAGTAGCAACTGCAGTTGGTATTTGTGCAGAATTCGGAGGCAATATCCTCAAGCCTCATACTATAGGTAATTTGTGCATTATAATATGCTTAAGATATTTATTTCTCCACTAGCAAGACTGACTTAGCTTTCTAATGTTGTTTCAGTAATATTCAATCATTTAAAATCTGTAATGGAGCATCCCAATGCAAAAAGCGCGGATAACATCATGGCTTACGAGGCTGCCATTTCTACCTGTGGGAAGTTAAGTCAGTTTGTCTGGGAAGGCATTTACACCTTTAAGGTTCCTCTCTTACTACTCCTTCCCTATATCAACATGCCATTAGAGAAATAAAATGGATTTCACATCGATAGAAAGAAAGTCCCCGTCTTTCTCTGTATCAGTAGTAGCATCAGCCTCATCATTATTATAAATAACACACATTCAGTTTGCACTAAAAGAAAACTTCATACGCTAGAATACACAAACCCTCAACACAAATTTACGACTTCTCTTGATAAATTTGTGGTTTATTGAATGACATATTATGAACTTCGTTGTCTTTCTTGATTTACGAAACTATTTTACGTGGCAGTTTATCTTGCTTTGGCTTAACCACTTACCAATAAGGTGTAATTTGGATGAGGCTAAAGTCAGTCACGAACTTCTTTGTTCGATGATGGAAACGTAAGTTTTTTTTTTTTTTTTTTTTTTTTTTTTTTTTTTTAAGTTGAGAAATAAGCAATAAATGATTATAAAACTTCCAACATTTCTTATGCATTGCTGGTGTTGTGCCTTGTTCTTTCAGGTCAGAGAAGAAAGTTATTGGCCCTCAAGGAACTTATTTACCGAAAATAATAGCAATTTTTGCTGAGGTAGTATTTCCTTTTCCTGTATCACAAAGAATGTACAGTTCCAAATATCCAGTAAAAGGATCCTCCATTTCATATATTATCTTTATTCTTTCTCTTTTTTAGGTTTTATGGGCAGGGAACAATTTAGCGACAGAAGAAACTATCAGGCGAATGATCAATCTATTGAAGAAGTTCCAAAGGGAACATCAGCCTTCTGTCCTGTCCAACATATATGCAACATTACCTTTACCACATCAAAGCATGTTGCGCACTGTCTTGTCCGCCATATAAATTGTTTGTGCATTCTTTGAGTAGATACATGTATAGAACACAGAAGTAGCTAACAGTAAAAGTAGCAGACTCAAACTTGTATAGACAGAAAAAGATTCCCCCACCCCCCCTCAAACCCCACCCCAAATCTTCCTCCTAGTACTGTAAAGAGTGCGATTGTATACAACGGATGAAGTATGAGATTTTTGTGTTCGAAAGGAATTTACCAGATTTTATGAAAATAAGATCTAAACATAGATGGAATGTTATTACAAGTCTTTCTGCTCTATCTTGTGCTATATTTAAGGTTATTTTCTTTCGTGTATTAACTTCGAATTGCAATTAATTTAACCTCCTTTATTTAATCATTCATGGTAAGAAGTCAAGTTGAACCTATAGTTGTTTAGTTACACTATCAATTTTGGCAAAAGCTAGAAAAATTCTAAAGTGAAACACACACTAGGTTTTCTTATCTATGAGACAAAGAGACGGAAAAAGTTGTCCCATCGGAGACTTTCGATAAGCAAAAGTTAAGACAGAAATGTGAAAATGCATAAATCTAACTTCAATGAGCTTATTGTTCTTCAAATTACCTGTTGCAGTTCCCCCTTAAAGATCATGTGGCACTGAGGTTGCGTCCAGCGTTGTAGCTACTTCTTTGAAGTGCACTAATGAAGAGAGATCTGATGATAGTTCTGATGAAAAGAGAGCTTCTATCGTTTCAGAAGAACAAGAAACTTCCATTTTCTGCTTCAGTTCCTTTCGTTTCCGCATAAGGCATTCATCTCCCAATTCTCAATTCATTGTGAAGTATATAGAAAAATCAGCCTCATTTCAACCGTCTAAAGAATAGAAATTCAGTTGCCGAACTGCATCAAATACGGCTGTGTAACCATAGTAGAAGAATACGATATCATATCATACTGACCAACGTACAGAATGATGAGAAAACACTCCCAAAATCAAGAGAATTGATCAATAAAATTGGAGTAACCATAATTTGTTCACATAATACAGCTAAATCACATGAAGCCAACCAAAATAAAGCAGGCATTTAGAGGAAGTGAAGCTCCATAACAGACACGAACAGTAAGGGACGTTCAGAAACGAACAAACAAATGGCGTAAGATAGAAATAGCCATCAGATAACAAGAACTAGTTGTCCTAGTACTAGAACCTGAAAGTTATGAAGCCACTGACTTGCACGAGACAAATAAGACGAGCTATTCACTTCCTTATGCAATCTTCTTCAACATCAATATCACTCAGATCAAGATCAGCAAGTAACTCCTCCAAAGGAATAGAAGGAACATCTTCCCCATCAGCAATAGATGTGACTTCCGATCGTTGATATTCTTTATTACGATACAATGATATGTTGAACCTCAGATCAGGATTCTCCTCTAAATCTCTCAAGAATTGTTCATATTCTGAGTTCAACTTTTGTTCCTGATCTTTACCCTTGCCAGAGTTATCGACTTCCATATTAAGAGACTTAAGCTTCCAAGACCGAGGCTTCCCACGTTTCTTTTGGCGCTTCTCTTCGTAGCTTTTCTTAATTAATATCACCTCCGGAAGGACAAGACCTTTGTATTTGTCGAGCTCAATATCATTACTATTGGCTCCATATAAATCATAACCGAGGGCGTAGTCTCCTGGATTTAGAAGATGGCCTAGATGTGTTCTTACGGAGAACATAGTATCATTTTTCCCGAAATCAGATACACGAGCCACTTGAGTATCAGCTAAAACATACGTAGAGCCCCCAATATTAACTTCTTCAGAAACCACATCAACGTCTAAAACTACATACTCAACAAGCTGCCTACTAGACAACAAAGGCTTAAACGACGCCCTCCAGTACTGATCAGCATCCAAGAAACAATGCCTCAGAGTAAACGGATCTAATAAAGCAATATTGTTGCTCAGTTTGGTGCAGATCACAAGAGGACCGATATTTCCTAAACTAGCTGCTACCTTTGGAGGGAGACATATCAAATCCTCACGACAAATCGGGCTGATCTCTACAGAGAATGTGTACTTATAATTGAAGTTATTGCTCTTGTGATCATGAGATACAAGTTGCTTGTCATTTCGGCTCCTAACAGGTACCACCCGACTCACCAAGTCCACAAACTTCAAAGCATGACTTCTATGTGCAAAGAAGAAATCAATTCCCTGAACCAACTGTTGAATTTTTATGGCACGATTAGCAGCCCCGTGCTTAAGAATGAGCTGCTCCAAATAGAAGAAAGTTCTTCGATGAGAAACGTGCTGTCTAAGCTGCACAGCCGCCGCCCATTGATCAGGATTAGCTTGCACCTTTGAACAAGATTCACACATTTGGTCTTGAACAACATACTCAACGGCATATGTTTGTTCGAGAACTGCTCCATTTAGAACCTCTTTTTGGACTCTAAGCCTAACTTTGATCCTTTTGGAATGAGGTTCAGTCCAAATAAACTCGGCATTCATCAACTTAACTTTATTTAAATTCTTCAACCTCTTGATACAAAAGGTCAGTAACTCCTTCGATTCGAGCTGTGCTTTGATCCAAGACTTAGGAGGCTGCAAATAGCTATCGCATTCGGGGCAATGGACAATCACAACATTCTTCTGTAAGCCTTCTGTTATATCAACTTCGGATCGCAAGCATTTAGCACACATATTGGCAGCATTTGGTTGCATCAAAATTCCACATTTGCAACATAATACACTGCCTATTGTTTGTTGCACTGTAATCATACCTGATACTTCTGCCATACCTATTAGAAACAAAAAAGGATTGTCACACAAATAGCCAGCCAGATTTAATGTTTACTTTTTCTAGCCTGTATACATAATGTATATTATACATGATATTTTTACTTTAGGAGATTAGGTGCCCGTTTGGATGGGCTTGTTTTAAACAACTTTTAAGCCTAAAGCTATAAGTTAGGAATTCTATCTTTTAGCTTTTGGCTTATTTTTGTGATTTTAGCTTAAAAACATGTGCTTAAAAGCACTTTTTTACTTTATCCAAACACTACAAAATGACTTAAAAGCTATTTTAGCTTAAAAAGCACTTAAAATAAGCCAATCTAAACGGGCTCTAGGTGGATGGCACTTAAAAAAATCAACAAATTAGATATAGCTTTCCATGGCAGATAACCTAAGTTGCTCAGACACGGGGCGGGTGTCCGACACTGGTGCGGATCTAGAGATCGGATATTTCAACATGTACATTTTAAGATTTGGGGATACGGATCCTAGTAAGGATACGGGTGCGAGGATCCGGCTAAAATTAATTAAAAAAAATAAAAATCTCTCTAATTTATGAGAAATTTTGTGGAATACTTACGTATAGCTTGTAAAGTGTGGATTTCCTTTTATTCTCGAGTTGTAGATAAGTAAAAGATTGATTTCCTAGATAAGATATGCTATTTTCTTCAAATTTACCCTAGTTTTAGTTCTGATTTCGGTAATCAAATTGTATTTCGTCTCAAATTTTTCTGTCCTTCATGGTCAAAGTACCCAAAATTGTTTAACCAGATCCGGTACGAATCCCATACCCACACTCTTACTAGTGTCATGTCAATACGGGTGCGGCACCTAAACTGCCATGTCGGAGCAACTTAGTAGATAACTAGCAGAAAGTTACATATATTTTAATTTCAATTATCCTTTGCTTGTATTAAAAAAGAAACAAGTTGAAACTGAATAATTTCTCCAAAATAACAAGTATTCCCTCTGTCTAAACAGTTTTTTAACTATCATTTCTTTAAAGTATTTATAATAAAATAAGTTACAACTCATACAACTTCTTAGATAATTTCTAAAAATGTAAATTTTATTCTAACAAAAAATAACAGATTGATGTCTAGTTCACATTAAAAATTTACAAATTTGATATTTTTATTAAAATAGAAAAAAAGAGCACCCTTTTCTTCCTTGTACCAAATGAATAAGAATTGGATGATCACAAACAAATAAAGACATGAAATTGATTGAAAAAAAGAATAAAGAAAAGAAAAGAAAATAGAAATAAATTTTTTCAATTTGAGAAACTGAATTGAGAGATTAATATACCTGGAATTGAAGAAGAGAGAAAACTGAATGATCAAAAATTGAAGTTGATAATATTAAGGAAGAAATATGTGGAGTTAATTTTTATTTTTATTTTTCTGAAATTTATTGTTATTTTTGGACCATAAAAATAAACAAATTTAACCGACTTTAGGAAGAGCGTGGCGTCACTGCTTACTACTTAGTCTTCCTTTGGTGTTGAATCATCAATTCAATTATACATGTCAAATAAAGAAGTACATTCACAATTTTATTTAGCTCAGCTACATAAACAGAGGGTGAAATTCAAAAATAGCCAGATTTATAAGTGTTAATTGAAAAATAGTCACGGTTTTAAAAGTAATTGAATTTTAGCCTCTTTTCATATAAAAATAAATGTAGACGAAAATACTGTTCAAAATCAGGAAAATATTCCAGCATAATATATTGGAGTTAGAATTTATTACATGTGAACTTCCAACATAATATACTGGAGTTCTAGTATATTTATACTGGAACACTACTAGAAATTCGGCAAAAACCGATCAAGAAAA